TCACTAATATTTTTTTAAAACTTAAAATAAACATAAATATAAACATACTATAATTATTTTAAAACATTAAAAAATTTGAAAAATTTAAATTTACCTCTTATTCTCTTTTCTCCTCCTCTTTCTCTACTCTTTTCTTCTTTTCTTTTCTTTCTCTTCTCTTATTTTTTTTTTCTTCTTCCGAAACACTACTCACACTTTTGTGAGCATTTCCCTTAGCCTCACCATCGTTTTTGAAGGGAAGAAGTGAGAATGTTCCCCTACCCGGAGCATGCATACTGCAGCAAAGATGAGACTCATGCATGTTGGTTTTGCCTCGGTCAACACTACATTACTACAACAAGTCAGGCTACAAAAACGTCACCTGCCCTAACATTTTCTGTTAACGGTGGCTTCTGATGCGGTTCTGCATTCTGCGTCTAGCTTCTCTACGTTCTACGTCTGGCTTCTAATGTGTGGAAGGATTCAGCTGGCAAGGAAAGTCGTCAAACATTGTGATGCTTTCTTCTTAAGTTTGCATGTGCACAAAACGTCAACCTTAATGATGTTTTCTATTGATCCGTTGCATGTGTACAAAACGTCTAGTTTAATGATGTTTTTCGTTGATCCTCTCTCCTATGTACATAGTCATTACCAAAACTGCCATTTTCTTTGTCTCTCCTACTATGACGTGACCAAAACTATTTAATTTGGTAAATAACTTTTATTAATTTATTTTAGTAAAATAAAATTTTAATTTATTATGGCCAAAAAGCTCAAATTCAAGTACTATTTAATTTGTTTATTTTCATAGATGACCGGAGAACTTTTGGATACTTTCATAAAACCTAAAAGAGTAACTTAAATATAGCCTAGAATATCATATGAACAGCAACATGCTTCATTCCAATAAACCCTCATTCATCTCCCTCATCAGAAAAGTACCACCCATTCATTGAATCCAGGGAACCATACAACCAATTACATTGAATATACATTTTAAAATCAATAATAATTACAACACAGTAAAAACACGTGAGCCCGGCACCGTCACCGCAACAATATCTGCCCTCCTAAATTAAAGTTAGGAAACCCCCAAAACGAGGGAAAAGAAAGAGCTATATCATTGCCTAGTGTAAGGACAAATACGTAAAGATATTTGAATTTGAACACTTCTTCTGGTCATTCATCATCTGATAAACAGACTACATCATGTGATGTAGATTGATGAGCCGAGTTAGCCGGCTTGCTACTACTTGTGCCAAATTTGGATAGGTTCAATGAAGCCAAATTTGACATATGTGGACGAACATTTGGCAGATTTTTACCAGGTTGACTACTAGCATCAGAACGAGAATTCAAGGCAGGTAAGTTTGGTGTGGGCAAACCACCAGTACTCCCAGGCCAATGCCCCCTATGAGGAACAGACTGAAAAGTCGCTGGCATTGGTCGGGGCGTCCAATGAGGAAATGGGGTAGAAGTTGAAGGAGCGTTACTGGGTGCAGGCTGACTTGGCCTCCCATGTGGAACTGTACAGAGACTGGGGGGTGGGGCTGGGGTGGATGTTGAGGGTCTATAAGGCTGGAGATGAGGGGCAGGTGCACGTATCTCCCCAACATGTTGAACACTTCCCAAGGGTGAAGAGAGGGAGTTGATATGAGGTAGTCTTGCAGAAACACCGGAGAAAATTCCCGGTGTACTGTTGTGAGTGCCCTGTATTGGTGGTACCATAGTCTGAGAGGTACTTGTAGCGAAGGAACTCTGCAAGCTGCCTGCAGGAGGCCCACAAGAAGGACTAGGACCCAGAGAGGGCCGAGTGGCATTTTGCTGACTTACAAGCTGAAATAATTGCTGCCCAAAACTTGCATCTGCCATTTAATATAAGGTGTGGTTAGAAATGACAAACAGAAAAAGGTGTAGCAGATGGCTGTAAATAAGGAGAATGTAAAAAATAATGTGGATGGACCCGCGCAAAGAGCAAGAGACATGCATAAAATGGCAAATTTAATTAAAGAAAACCCTCCCTTGATCTTTAAAAACAAATAATTTGAATCAACTGCACACAGCAAATGCATTGATAATTTTTGACTTTGTATAAAGAAAGAAAACAGATGTCAGCACGCAAGTTAATTGTTTGCTTGAGAGCTTGATTCCAAATGCCCGAAAAAGCCCATCAAAAGGCAAAACCCTCACATTTGTTTTTGTGCAGACTCATTTCTTTTAATTTTCGGAGGGCTAAAATATAAAAGTACATAAACAATGGAAGAAGCACGACACTATCCATGTTAAGAAGTCTCAGAAAATATCTTAATGGTATCAGGCTATCAGCATTTTAGATATGTTTGTAAGCAGCAGCAGAAACTTGCACAATCAAAGGGAGAAAAATAAAGGGCAAAGAAATTTCCACCATCACTAGAGTCGGTATAATTATTAATTAGAAGAAATATACCTTGCTGAATTCCTGAAGCACCAGATACTTTAAGATCCATGGATTTAGCCCTAAAAGCCTCGGCCAATATCTTATTTACAAGAACTATGTTAAATTGTGCATCCAGGTTCTTCCTTACTTTCTGCAATTCAACCTCAATCTCCTTACGTTTATTGTCATACTTCCTGCATAGTTCCTCAAGTTCCTTCTCAAAATCACACTTCAATTGTGATTTCTGCTCCAACAAGTAGAATAATGTAGTGTTAGTAGTTATCACAAAAGAAAAGATCAAGGATATAAATCATAGCAATCATAAACCAAAAGCTAACCTTATTTTCATAGTCTCTCATATTTTGCTCTGACAGTCTACGTAGTCTTTCCAATTCATTTTTAAGAGGATCATGGCACAAATTTGGAATAATCCTGGAAGCTGATTGGCTTGCAGGTTGTATAGGATGATTATTAATCTCTGTGAGAGTCGACAATTTTCTTGGATCTGAAGACTGAAGTCTGACTTCGCCAGGAAGAAGTGAATCAAGGTCCATATTTGATGCTGGATGTACAGCTTGACCAGAACATGAGTCAAGTTCCAAATTTGAGGCACGATGCTCAACAGCTTGATTTTGAATCTCAATTGATGTCTCAGGAATGTGGTTGGGGAGATCATTTTCATTGGATGGCTGGCATTCAGTTCCAGTCATCAGAGGCAAGTTAGATTGCCCCTCCTTGTCTGGAGGCTCCATGACCAGTGAATTATTAATGGATTGATTAGCTCGTACAATATCAACTGGACTAGATACCAAAGTGTGGTGCATTTCTCTGGCAGTATTCTGGTCAGGTGGAGACACTACAGTTAATAATGGCTGCTCTTGTTCTAGAGGCTCCATGAGATCAACTGGTCTAGGTACTGGAGTTTGCTGGGACAAACTGTTCTCATTCACAGTTCTACATACTCCTTCCAGCTGGGCAGGAATTGAGGAATGCTGCACAACAGCTTGATTTTGAATCTCAATTGATGTCTCAGGAATGTGGTTGGGGATATCATCTTCATTGGATGGCTGGTCTTCAGTTTCAGTTACCAAGGGCAAGTTAGATAGGTCCTGGTTGTAAGAAAGAAAACCTACAGAAGGTAATTGCCCCTCCTGCTCTGGAGGCTCAATGACCAGTGAATCATTAATGGATTGATTAGCTGGTACAATATCAACAGGACTAGATACCAAAGAATCCTGCATTTCTCTAGCAGTATCCTTGTCAGGTGGAGACTCTACAGATGATAATGGCTGCACTTGTTCTATAGGCTCCATGAGATCACCTGGTCTAGATACCGGGGTCTCCTGGGACAAACTGTTTTCTGTCATGGTATTACGTACTCCTTCCTGTTGGTCTGATGTGGCACTTTTATCCACCACCACACTGTCTATTAATTGACATTCAGCCTCTTCATTGCTATTTTCTGGCACTGAGACAGGAATTTGGTTACCATGTAGGGTCCGACCATTGCTTGGGCTTGTAGTACAAGGCCCTGATAATAAATCTCCATCAAATACTGGACCTGCATTAGGTATTTGGTCCATGGATGAAGAACTCAGAGTTACATTCTCAGGATAATCGGTACAATTGACTGTGCCAGGTATTCCCACAACTTCCTTCCCATCTAATACATTTACAGTGGCCCTCTCATGACTAGTTTCTGACACTTCAACTGGAATTTGACCAGCAGGTATACTTGATGAGACTCTATCAGGACTTTGCTGTTGTAAAGAAGGTTGATTTGGAAGAATAGCATTAGCATCAGAGCTATTGCTGGGATTAACAGTTCCATGTGGCCTTGACAACACACTATCTAGAACTGAGACATCTACTGCAACTACAGATATTTGCTCTCTGGATGGAGAGCAATTGGCAGTCTCAAGCATTCTCACATGCGAATCTCTATTTAATACTGTGATCCCATCAGCATTTCTCTCATCCATCAAAGGCGAATTCAGAATGACATTATTTGAACCATTTCCACCATCATCCTCAAGGATCTGTGCAAAATTCCCACAACTTAGCATGCACATGACATTTTCATTATGGACATGGGCTTCAGGTGATTTTGAATTCCAGGGGGAAATCCTTTCATCAGAGAAAGCTGATCTCAAAGGTTCAGCACTATTTGAACCATGATTGTCATCAGCCTCATGGACTTGTGCAGCATTCTCACAATTTGGTGTGCACATGGTATGTACACTTGGGATATGTTCTTCAGATGATCGAGAATTCAAGTGGGGTATATTCTTTGCTCCATCATTGGAACCATTAGCCTCAACTTCTACTGATGGACCACAACCAGGTTCACTCAGTATAGTCCCATCAAGTTCTCCTTGCCTAGAATAAGGAATTTCAGCATGATCATTGTTTGAACTGCTGGTATTACACACCGTAGGAGCCACTTCTCCACTGGGAACATCTAATGTTTCCCCATCACTAATCCCTTTATTAGATGAAGGCAGAACTCGTGCTACACCATCCTGCCCAAAATCATCATGAGATTCACGGCTAAAATTTACACATCCTTGCCCTTTGTCAGGCATGTTAATAGCTCCATCAGAACATTGTTCTCTGGATTTGGAATGCTTAGAGATGATATTTCCTTGACTTTCATGTTCATTTTCAGCATTATTGCACTTATTTCCAGATACTGGTCTATATTCTGAAGCCAGTATGTCCATCTCATTAACATCAGCATGTTTGACCAGAGGAGTTTGCGATTCAACAGGGTTACAGCATGGTACAATTACAGAGGCATTGGTGTCAGGAGCTTCAGGATATCCAACACCAGTTCCAGTCTTTGTCATGACTTCAATTATATCATTGAAACCCTTTCCTTCAGCAACATGATCACACACAAGGGCTTTCGAAGCATTATGATGCTGGCCTTGACCACAAGTCTGCAAGGATTCAACCTTAGTCCCAAGTTCTTTGGAAGCCACTGGGTGTAACAGTTCATCTGATGCGGAAGACTCTTGGAAAATCAGCCTTGTTTTTAATTGCTTGGCCTCAAGTTCCTTGAGACGTATTTCATGCTGCCTATCCAATTCTTTAATTCTTTTAATGTATTCACTATTGAAAACCTTGAGCTTTTCTTTTGCCATCACATCATTGGGAAAACATGATCGAATAGCTGCCCACTCTATTTGGTACCTTCTCCGAAATTCAGTGATTTCATTCTCAATATCGTTTTTCAATTTTTGCTTCTCTTCCTGTTGCATCAGAAATAGCTTGTTCCACTGGCTTTTACGCCTCTGAACGTTTTTTATAGTTTTAGAATTATCATTTTTTACTGATTCGACCTCTGGTGTCACGTCTATATATGAATAAATTCCATTTGGTGATTCGGAAGCTTTTGGATAGCCAGCAACATTAGAATTTTCTGCGAGTAATAAAAATTTTTCCTTCAGACCCCAGAGCCTGGAATTGATTTCATCCACCACTTCTTTCTTGCAGTCAAAATTCAAGTGCTGCTTTGCAAGCATGAGGGAAGCTTCAAAGTCAAGTTTGTGATTTAGCAAAGAAGCAGCAGTCCAACACTGAAATTTGAACAGTACAAGAAAAAGTTTGTCAGTTATTTGTATTAAAGACAACAAAGTGAAAGACACACAAGTTTCAATAAACTAAATTTCCTACATTAAACAGGTTGTGAAGAACTTAAGATGGTAACCATATTGCAAATATGCAGAACATAGAGCAAACATAACTTCTTAGTAACAAAAATGTTTCAGCCAGGCAAGCCTTATATACAAGAAAAAGACAAAAAATCCATAGAAAAGAAGAAAATCCATTATATGGAATGATGAGAAAAAATACAATGTCAACTGAAATACAATCAGGAAAATAACTTTTACAAAGTTACTTTGAGTCAAGATTATTTGACCATGAAACCTGTGCCAGGCATGCATATTGAGGCTTGAACCTAGCCTCATTTGACCAGCTGACTGTGCTACCCAGAGATCAGAATCTCAACTTATACAAAATTTTAAGGCACTCAACATAAGAAACAGGCTAGAAGTTGACTGGTTAGATCAAGTGCAGAGTTAAAAATGTTTGCCCATTAGGTTGCAGCAACAGAAAAAAATGAATAGATGAAAAATCAACAGGCATCAATGAACTATTAGACCTTCCCAAATAGAAGGGCCAAATGATGCATAATGAAGACGGATGTTTAAGGACTATTATGTTATTCTTGTTTCTTAGAAATGATAAGAATGGTGTACTTATATGATTTAGCGAGAGTTGGTGATTACCAACAACAACAAGCAAAAGGACTAGGGCAAAGAAAAAAGAAAAGGGTAAAAAAAATAAGGTGAAAAAGAAGATGCAAGAAAATAATCTGACCAGAGATAGTTGAAAAGCCTGCAATATTGAGACTGGTTCTGTACAGATCTGGTAATTGTTCATAGTATATTCAAGACAATTTTCAACCATACTCTTGACATTGTCCTGCATTAAAAAAAGATGTCAAAATAATATATATAAAGATAATAGAACCCAATTGAAATATATTGAACCAACTATCACAAAACTCATGAGTGACAGTGTACATAGTTTTAAAAATCATTCCTTGGGGATGCAAGGTTGGATTAGAAGAATTCAAAGCAATATTAATTTCTGAAGTCCATCAAAGGCACTCAAATATATATATATATATATATATGTTAGATATAATTTTATCTTATAGTCTTTTATCTT